TTTGCTTTCTATTGTTTCTTATTGTCCTAATTTTTCTTACTATTTTCATTACTATTAAACTTCTAAAATTTTAACAGAAGTGAATGGCGTTTTTCACATTTACCTACATAAAGAAATTGACAATGCAGTGCAGCTTTATTAAATGTTACTTTTTCAGTCTGCAGTTAATATTTGTTTCTTCCTTTAATATATAAAAGGCAAAAACCTAAGGCTCTCGGAACTATTTCACCAGCATTTTGTTTCCTTTTACAACTCTTGTTTTCCATCCCTGCCTTACATCCACTGCCTGTTTTCAGGAATTACTTTTTTTCTGTTGCTGGGTCCTGCTTAAAAAAAAAATATAATCACAGTTATACAGACGATACACCGATTGTAAATGTGCTTTTTACTGATCCTTGATGCTCAAGCCTACTACTGGAATGTATTAAAGATATCTTAGCTATAATTCTCTTTTTGATACAGTTTAGAGGGAATACAGTCTTTGAAGCAATAACTAAATAACTATTAATTTAGAATGAGTCAGCTGAGTTGGGTGCATGTCTCCCTCCTGTGAGAAACAACTCACTTTTTAAAAAAAGTGAGCTCACTTTTTAGAATTTTAAGGATTCATTAAACCTTTACAATAAAACCACAAAAGGATTAAATAAGGGAAAATAACAGTGCTGGGAGCCCTCCCTCCGTGGCTGCCTGCCACGTGGCTCACCCACAAAATGGCTGTTCTGCCTTTTCTACCCTGGGGGTTGCATCAACCAAGCGTGGTTCCTCTCAAAGTCTGTCAGTCAACTCTTCTTTGCTGTTTATTGATGGAGACTACTTTCTTGCAACTTGATTGGAGGAGGTGAGGTGTTGCCCCCTAGCAACAAGTTTTCCATTGCCCATGGAAGGGGCACATGTGCTCGCCTTCCTTCTACCTGTCCTAGACAACCCAGGCTATCTGGTGGGAACAATACAGGGGTGGGGGGAAAGAGGACTATGGGGAGAACAGAGGACATCTAAACAACAGACCACAATAACATAACTGTACATCCATAAAGCTTCTCTTAATATACATACAATATTCATCCCTTAATTGTGAGAGCCAATCATCTCATTATTTATCTATAACACTCCCGAGAGATGAAAACACACACATGCGTACTTTGACAAAATGGAAATCTTTTATACCTTTTTGAGGCGGGGGGTGGGCCCTGTCCCCTTTCCATTGAATGGCTACTCAGGCTTTCTCCCAGCTGCCAACTCTTCTGTCTCTTCCCTTCTCATCCTTCTTCATGTTTGGGTCATGTCTTCAACCCTGCCCCTCTCCTGGTTCTCAACAACACCCAACCAATTAAACAGAACACATCCTAACTATAGATAACAAATAGGAAACAAAACCAACAATTTTCATTCTTTTGCTGCATAACCTTTTTGGGCTGGAGCAAAATGTTATTTCCTCTCTCACAGGTACATTATTTAACTGTGTCCTTCAGAAGTATTTGCTCTTAGAATATTTTAATCTTGCTCGACAAGCTGTCTGTCTGGATTCACCTGTCAAGTCATTTACACAAACAAGATGATGCAAAACATAAACTTTGACATACTAAAGCAGAAGTTCCACTATGAACTACACAACGCTGTATAGGTACAGTGTATTTCTTATAGCAAGGGTTTATGGATTAGCAAGGGATAGCCTGAGCATTTTCTTCAGTAGCTACTCTTGCTAAGGCACATTTCTTCTGCTCTGCAGAAACCTTAACCACCGTTTCCAGCTTCTTTGACTGGAAAGATAAAGTATGCTGCAATACCAACATGGCATCTGTGTGGATCCAATAAGAAACATAAACCTTGCTATATTTAACAGTATGTCCTTGACATTCTGAGAAAATCACCAGGGAAAGTGTGATTTCCAGGAGGTAAAAGGGAAGCCACTGATAAGATGACATTGACACTGCTCTCTGAGAAGCTAAAGAAGAAGTGGGTCTTCAGCCAAAGAAGGTGGATGTCATCTGTAGGCTGATGCCTGGAACTGATGAAGTGAGTCAGCATATCATTACAAAATAAGTTTGGATGGTTTTCTTTTGTGTGGTTGGCAGCGACCTTTCCAAACCTGTAACTTGCAAGAGGCGCTGCTTCTTCACGTGCACAGTCCGTGGGTCCAGCAGAGCCCAGGGAAAGGGCTCTTGCTCAGTGTTTGGTATTTGTGAGACCAGCTCTGGGGCACCAGTCAGTGACTGGAGTATCACGCAGACAGTGCTGTCGTGGCGAGAGTTTAGCAGAGAGCCATGAGCACAGTCACGGGGCTACACTGAGTGGGTGATGAGCAGACAGGCTGAGAGACGTGGGCTTGCTCAGCTTGAAAGCTACCAGGGATTTTGGCTGCTTCCTTCTCCTAGGAGGTCAAAGAGAGGATGATACCAGAACTCTACTTGAGACAATGAACACAGCAGCAGCATGGCCATTTTGATGAGATGTAAGAGAAAAAATCTTCTTCACTATGAGGTCAGCCCAAACCTGGAGCAGCTGTTCCTGACAGGCTGTATTATCTCCATCCCAAAACTGGAGCAGATGTTCCTGACAGGCTGTATAATCTCCATCCTGGAGCTGTGCAGAGCTCACTCACCCAGGCAGGGTCGCAGCAGGCTGCTGTAGCCTCACAAGTGTTTTGTTTGTTTTTTGCTGACTCCAGGGCAGTGCAGACAGAGAGGGAGCACCAAAGGGGACGTGCACTGGGATTGTGTGCATCATCTTCCTCTAGCAGGGAGACTCCCAGAGGTGTTTTTGGAGTGTAGGTCACCACTTGTCAATTAACAGGTTCTCAATTTCTGTAACAGTGTTCAATATTACATGGGAACAGTTTTCCCACAGAACTGAGGAATAGCTGTTCCTGAAGACTATTTCTGTTCACCGGGTAACTCTTCGTTACTATGCCTCCTGTTTTTCTATTAGCATATCCTGTCTCCATGAAAAAAGGAAAGAACTGCTTTTGAAATTGTATTGCAAAAAGCTTTTCTTAACGTCTTAAATTATAATTTCTGTACAGATAACCTTAAAGCCACATAGTTCAGAGGCAGCGTGTAAAAAGGATCAAATTTTCCCTGTTTTCCAGCCAATTATGTCAGGAGACATTATGTGGGTTTCAAACCACGAGTATTGTACATGTCGGACGATACTCTGGTATTGCCGGCCAGGGGTCTATGTACAAATCACGAACGGGACGGGACTGCTGAGGAACGTGTCTCGAGCTGTTTATTTTCCAGCATCAGCCTCATTACATGGTTATGACAATGGGAAGATGCCAGCAGCTCACATCCCCGGCAGCAGACAAAGAACTCAGTGTTACAACTCACTTTAAAAGTTTTTTGACCAATCACACAAAGCAAAAGCATATTGTGCTTCTATCCAACCACTTTTAGATGGAACTAGTGATATATAATAGTGGTTCTATCCAACCACTATAAGCACACGTACTTTTGGGTAAAACAGTACTTGCTTACTTTGAATACATTACCTGCTTGTGAGTCTTACGATACAATGCACAGAGCTCCATTATTAAGCTTAGAAATTCCTAATATCATGTTAGATATACTTTTCTGTAGCTTAGGGAGTTATTCTAGCCAAGTGTTAATACACAAACCATTGTTCTATTTGTCCTTACTTTTCTACTTCTTATATAATTTTTCTGCTGACAAATCTTACAGCTACTGTGACGCTTCTCCCTCTCTCAGCCCCAAATTATTAGGCTAGCCAAGAGATACGAGGCCTTGAGGGGAGGAACATCAGGAGATGGGCAAGGATTCCAAAAGAGGCTCTCATCCCCATGTAGTTGTCCAGCTCTTTATTCCGTGAGGTCCGAGGGGGAAGAGCGGAGGAAAGAGTGCGAACAGAAAATGTCAGGGGTTTATCTATGCTCTGGACAGGGAGGGCTTCTTGGCTCTCCACCAACCCTGTTGGGGCAGGAAGGAGGGGACCAGGCTTCTCTCGATCAGAGTCACAGGGGCCCCGGGGAATGGGGAAAGGCATAGCCCAAGCGCACTGTAACACTACTGCTTAGCTCTAATTGCAGTTCTGCCGTCTCTGAGGCCTGCTTTTTGTAGCTTTCCCAAAACCCTCTAATTTTAAGGATTCTCAAACTCTCGCTCCTCAATATATACATTCCAGGTGCTTCTGATTTGGATGGAGTCTTTCCAGACTTGAATCAAATACCACAAACACTATTTTGCTCTTCCTCTTTTCTACAGAACAAGAGTCTTTGTTAGTGTGAATAAACAGAACTAGCAATGTATCCTAAAGAATTTTGATACAAACTATGATTTCAGTAGATTTTGCCTTCCTGTGGAAAGTGGTGTCTGTCCTGGTTTGGAACGGGAGGAAATGCAGGGAAGTGATGCAAAGCGTTTTTGTGTAACTGACAGTCTGCGGAACCACTGAGAAGCTGGACACGCCTCTGTCAAACACACATGTTAAAGACAACAAAATCCGGGCACTGTCTCCTTCTTTTCTGGTCGCTGAGGAGGTGGCGGCCCCCGCCGGCCCAGGCGCTCCATCTGGGCCGCGCTGGGCCGGGCGGTCCTGCCGCGGGCCGGGCCCCTTCGCCCCGCCAGCCCCGGTCTGGCCGGGCCAGGCCCAGCAGCTGCCGGGAGGAAGGTGGCGGAGGCTGCGGAGCCCTGGCCAGAGCTGGGCTGGCCGCGGTCGTGAACATCTTGCCATCAGACCCCCTCCCCCCAGCGCGGCTGAGACCAGAGACCTCTGCAGACCTCGCAGAAAACCAAAGACCAACCATGAGGCCGGTCAGGCGTGATGTTCACCCTTTCAGTGCTTCAATCCTCCCTCGACTGAGAGAAAAGAACAAGATGCAAGCATGTAAAGGAACAGCATGAAGACATCGAGGTCAGTGACAAAGGAGTTAAGTACCAGATGGGAGGAACGAGGTGAGGCTTGTTTTGGAGACGAAATCCTCTTGTAAGCTATGGAGAAAGGACTCTTTTTTCCTTATAATGCATGAAACTGTGAGAAACAACTGGTCACTTTGAAAATGTAAAAAGGTTTATTACATTTTAACAAAAATACAACAAAAGGACTACATAAGGAAAAATTTGCAGCGCTGGGAACTGCCCTCATGGACACCACGTGGTCGGTTCATCTTCAAGATGGATGCTCAGTCCTTTATACCCCTGGGGGGGTTGCATCAGCCAACCCTGGTCCCTCCCAAAGTGTGTCAGTCAGCTCTTCTTTGCCATTTATCAGTGGAGATTGCTTTCTTGCAACTTGATTGGAGATGGGGTGTTGCCATGCCACACCCTCTAAGCAACAAGTTTTCCATTCCCAGCTGCCCCAGGGACAGGGCACATGTGCTCGCCTTCTTTCTACCTGTCCTAGACAACCCAGGCTGTCTGATGGTAAAAATACAGGGGTGGGGGAAGGGGACTCTGGGGAGAACAGAGGACATCTAAACTACCATAACATAACTATACATCACTAAAGCTTTTCTTAATATTTGCACAATAGTTATTCCTTAATTGCAAGAGCCAATCTGTGGAAATCCAGGACGTCACTCTGGCTGCCCTGGAAGCTCTGGGGCACATGGTTTGTCTATGACAATTGTGCTGTCAGTGCCCAAAGCCACCAGCCCACAGGCAGTCCAAAGGCTGTCCCCAATGAACAGCTGGATAACGCTAACAAAGAGTCCAGTGTCATCCAGGGTTGCTGTGACAGTCACAGGCACCTCACCCCTAGCGGGGATCACTCCTTCTCTGGGTTCAATGGCAAAGCAGTGGGCTTGGCGAGGCTGTAAGACAAGCATAATATGCATTTAAGATGGGAACCATACACCCTGGTGTCTTGTGGAAAAAAAGACTAAAGAAGGGATGATAAAAATCATAATAGCTTAAAATCCCTAAAATAGAGTATTGGGCAACAGCAGAGCTCATACAACCTGTCTTTTCCCCTCCTTTAACAGACACACCTAAGTAACCCAGTTTTGCCCAACCCAGGGGACATTTATCCTCAGGAGAGTGTTCCTTCCCCAGTCTTTCTCTGGAGTGTGTGCCAAGGAAAGCTGCTTTCTCTCTCCTGGCTTCTCACAAAGGCTCAAGGCCAGAGGAAGCCAGGACTGCTCAAATCCCACTCCAGAAACCACACAGCTGGAGGATACTGCTGAGAGCCTGAAGAATATCTCTGCAAAACCAGTTGTGCAAATCCCCAGCACCAAACTATTCTTTCCCAAGGGGCCATCAGTGCTTCTCAACATCCCCTAAATGACTGAAGCCCTCACTTCCCACCAATCATCAGCTGTAGAGCGGTGCCCCAGTGTCCTCTGCTTTGGAAAAGTCACCTCCAAATAGTAAGAGCAGAGCAGGAAAGCAGGAAGCAGAAAGAAAACTGGACAACACGTGCTCTGTGGGCATGGCTCACTCTTGCCTAAAACTCTTATCATCTGTTTTTTTCATGGATTTCACAGATTGGGTGAAAGAGCTGGAAGATGCCCAAAGAAGGGAGGAAAGGCCTTGCACCAGCACAGCTGTGCAGACACAGCTCCCTGCTACCAGCATGTGAAACCCATCCTTTACACACCACGACCACCCAGCCAAGGTGCATTACTACCTGCAGAGGCTGAAAGCAGAATTCTGTTGTGGAGTTAGAGAAAGCTGTCCTGGAAAAATCCCTCACTTTGAGGTTACATTTATCCCCCAAACAGCGGGAATAGCAGCAAGAAGAAAATTCATGCCCCTCCTCCTTGGCCCAGGAGGCTGTGGCTAGACTCTCCCACATGGCCTAACGCTTTACCCACAGCCACAAACAAGTCCTTAGTATCAGGTTTTAACCAACCCCACAAGTCCAACACACCCAGCATGAAGAAAAACAAACCTCAAGCCCCTCATGGATCTCCCCATCCAGCAAACATCCCACCCAGCCCCAGGCCCCTCCTGGCTGCACCAGCCCTGCTCCCCCTGCCAGGGGAGCAGCCCCAGCTCCTTCTGCCCTGTGCAGCCTCCAATATTAAACTGCCTTTCTCTGCAGCTGGTGGCCAAAGATGCTCTTCAATGGCACAGAGATCACAGGCTGCGGGGGTGCACAGCCCCCACACGTCTTTGTGTGGACAGCCCAGCTGGCCTGACCCACTGGAGGTGTGAAAATTGCCTCCCCACGAGCAGTCTGAGGACAGACCCCGCACCCTGCTCTCTACTATGAACAGCAGTTTGGCACAAAGCAAATGCAGATAGAACAGGGAAACCATAGGGAAATCCACGTTCTCTGGGGAGCAAAGGACCACAGGTTTCTCTTGATATCAGAGCTAAAGACAAAAGATAAAATTAAGGGAGAACTTGTCAACACAATCCAGACTAAATTCTGCTCCAACATCTCTGCAACTGATTTCACTGAGGGGTGCCCCAGCTAACACCACTCCAGAGCCAGGTTCCTCTTGCCTCGCTCAGATGGAATATTGGAGTATCTTGCCTCCTCTCACACAGGGCAATATGGAAATCTTGCATATAAAAACCAAGTCACGGCACCTACTGACCAGTCAATTTTCCTGGAAAACAGCCCTACAGATACTTACAATCTCCATCCTGAAGTCTGTAGAGGCAAGACTGTTGTTGAAGAGGATAAAGCTTCGTGATGTAGGCTGTAGTGCTGGGACCATGCCAAAATCTATCAGCCTTGGACTTGGGTAGATTTCTGCCAGCTGTCCAGAGCTCCGTAATTCTGGTCTCTGTTCCAGGAAACAAGAAAGAAAGATTAAAAAAAAAAAAAAATACAAAACAAACCACAACAGGGAAACTTAAAAAACTTAAACAACTCAACGGTGCTCAAGTTAGTTTTTAGGGACAGCTACTCTTCACCTGCAATGCTGGGCTTTTAGGGAAAAAAAAAAAATTACATATTCACCTCCAAATTAGAAAGGATTAAGGTGCAAGAAACTTTCAAACTAAAAGTTATTGACCCAAAGGTAAAATCTTTGCAAGAAATCTCAAGTTAAGACCAGGCTGACAGTTAAACAACTGGTTATTCTGGTGGGGAGAAACCCTCCTCTTTAAGGTAAGCAGCCTGATAGTTGAAAGCAACTGTTTTGTCAAACTTCAGGCTCCCTGGCACAGCCTGCACTGCCTGTCCTTCCTGCTGATTTAAATGCAGTGCCACAATGGCCCAGGTTCAGATGTTTGGTGCCGTCCAGGGAATTTGGCATCGTCATTTTCTTATGTTTTAATATAAGTTTAAATCCTTGCAACCACTCTTCAAATGCCAGCTTTCCTTTCTTTTACAGAAAGCTCAAGGTTCCCAGAAGTCTTCTGACACCCTCTTTTGTGCTCAGAGAGATGACATTTAAAAACAGATGTTTCCAAAGTTAATAGCATTTTAAAGAAAAATTAAGTAAAATAGTCCTTGATTCCAACTTAGATGAACTACCTTCTGTGTCAGACACTGAGATTACCACCTCTAAGGCGTGAGCTGTTTGTGCCACCGATCCCTCCTGTCCTTCTCCTCAGCAGCCGGTTCCTGTTTTCCCCAGGAGAATCCCTGCACCCTTGCACCCTGCCAGGAGCAGTTGCACAAAGGCACACATCTCTCCTTGCACTCACCAGTGGGTTTCTCTCATCCCCAAACACGCCGATAAGAACGTCGGTGTCATGCTTGCCCAGTGTTTGGACTTCAATTGTAACTGGAATCTCTGCAATGCTGTGAGGGTAGACAATCCCACAGGGTTTGTGGCTGGAGTAGAACACAGGAGAGTCCTCCTTGCGTTTCTGGAAGGGACAGAATCAAATACAGCTTCAGAGGGACCTCTGAAGAAATTTTAGACTCCTTAACATCCACTGCAACAGCAACTTACACACATTTTTAAAAATCCCCAGGACAAAGGTAAAAGGCACAAACAAGATGCAAGAATTGTAGGCTTAGCACTCTCAGGGGGTCCTGCAAGGAGGCTGCCAGCATGGGCACTGGTGTCTATGGATGCAGCAGCTTTTCACAACCCTCTAAGATCTCCCACAAGAAAACACCCTGAAGACTGGAACATAAACTCTATCCTCAGGAAGTTAAACTACATCCTTAAGTCTACATTTTGGTAGGATCCTGTTCTCAGCAAATCTTTAAGACTGAACAGAAGGCAGCAAGGTCTTATCTAAACACTTTTTACCCTAATATCGCCTCAATAATAATTGAGAGGAGGAGGTGGATGCGATGCCAAACCTGGGGAATAAGCCCGTAGCAGCCAGGAAGGTCGGTGTTATTTGCAATGAGGAACTTCCTCTGGTATGGCACCTTCAGCTGACACTCATCGTACAGCAGGATTTGGGGGTACACTTGCAGCTCAGGAACGAGACACCTGGGCAAAGAGATGACCCCAGGGGAATCAGAGATACTGAGAGAATGGAGAATGTTTACCCCCAAAGATTGTGAAACGGAGCATAACACATTTGTCACTGTCAAACAGACATTTAACAGCCTTACAGTGATAAATTGCCTTCAAAGTCTTCCCACTCAAACACCTCTTGTCAAGGAGGGGCAAACCCTGAGAGGCAGCAGCCAGAGGCTGCCAAGTGCCCCAGGCAGAGCACTTTGTCCCACAGCTGCCTCAGCCCCTCCTTTACCCAAGGGGGCTTGCAAGGACTCCTGTAACAGTCCCAGTGATCCATGAGCTCTGGGGGAGCCTTCCCAACAAGGATCAGTGCTCACTAGGGCTCAAGGAACACACAACTCTAGTGTCTCAGTAAAAATGATTCTCTTCTCTCCCACGGTGCTGTTGCCCTGCCTGAGAACTCAGCTGTTTGCCCCAGCCTTGGAGGGCACGAGACACCCCCTGCCCTGCAGAGTGGGTGATCACCCCTCCCAGCTCCTACAGCTCCCTCGGTCCCTCACTCCACAGGTCCACGCACTGACTGTCCCCAGTTGCACTTGCTTGACAAAATGGCAGCCCAGGCACTGACTGGCTCTGCCTGGGACAGGGAACAGCACCAGGGAACCGCATCCCTCGTGTCATTAAACTGACAGCCACAGCAGCATAGCAGGATGGAATTCTGCTGCAGCAAGAACGACTTTTGGGTTAAGTCTGAGAACATTAAAGCTCAAAACGGGAAGCACAGGAAGGAGGAAAACTAGAGCTGACCTGCCACATCAAGGGCTGTTTTCCCCTTGTAAGACCTTGCCCTCACCACTCTTGCTGTGAGCCACTTCCCCCTGCCACGTGCCCTCATTGACAGAACCAGACCCTGACTCTCAGCAGGCTGCTTGGTGTGTCCCAAACCAGTGCAGGGTGGTCACAACCCAGCATAACTCCACTTCTTGCAGGAAGAAGGAGAGGAGGCCTCAGGAAATTTGTTCTACCTCAAGCACCAAAAACCAGGCCAATAAATTATATAATTCCTGGTCCCTTTAGAAAAGGGCCCAGGACTGTGCTGGGCTGTGAGCAGGGGTGCTTTTCAGTACAGGCTGCTTTCCTCATGTCCAGTTGGGCACAACATGAGGTCATTAGACAGCACTTCTCCTTGGGAGCTGCAGCCAGCAAACCCTGTGCAAGGCAGCGGCTGGGGGAGGCCAGGGAAGGGCTGGTACCTGGCTGTGATGACCAGTGATGCCACTCCCTTGCCAACACCCTCCAGGTCCACCAGCATTTTCCGGTAGAAATCCATCACCGTGTTGGAACACAGGGTCACCTGGTGGAAGAGAAGAGCAGCAAATTCTTCCTTACAAAAGCTCATTACCCACGTGTGATATCCTCCAGCTCTTGTTTCATGGTAAGGAAAGGGCAGATTTTGCCTTAATTCTTCTGCTGGTCCATGTGTAGAGCACAGTGTCAGAGTGGCAAAAGCCTTCTGGCAAGACCAGATTTGATAAACACACCTCGCTATCAGGGCATAGGTCAGCCAAATTAAAACATTAGACTAAAGCTCTATGCACCACTGTATTCAAATTAAGGGGCCAATTTTTCATCTGACTGCAATGACATAAATGCAGAGGAAATGAACAGAATGAGTTCAGCTTTACAGCAGGAAGCTGAGGGCAAAGTGGGGCCCAGCAGGTGCTTGGCAGTTCACGGCTGCAGTTTTTTGTCTCCACTGGAGTTCCCCGCAGCGAACACAAATCATTCTCCTCCCCAGGAGAGGGGAAATGAGACCAAGAAGAAAAGCAAACTGCTTTTTACAATGACATCCCTCTAACAGCCACCTTCTGTCCTCATCCTTTCTCTGCCCACTTGCAGTCAAAGAAATTTCTCTCAAAAACACAAGAATGGCTTCAGTACTTGACCATATGGTATGTGATCTCAGCCTGTGATTTTGGAAACAACACGGTGCTCCTTGAGGAACATCCCAAGGAAGCCAGCTAGCAGAGGCCTCTCACCAGTGCAGATCTCTCACTCACACAGGGCTCCAAGTGCTCAAAGCTGGCACCAGAGCTAAAGCCCTCCCACACTCCAGGGAAGCTTCAGCCCTGGTGCTGAAGAGTCTGTGGCTGGGCTCTTCCCATACCTCGATATCCTGATGTCCCTGGGGGAGGATGGTCCCTTGGCTGGGATTCATTGTAAACTCCCTTGGCTCCACAAAAAAACGAATTCCCTCCCTCCAGGACGGGTCACTGTCGCTGCGTATCTGATCAAAGACATTCACAGCAGGCTGCGTGCCATCGTCCGACATGCGGAGCTTGAACGTCACGGGCACCGGGGAGGCGTTAGTCAGGCGACAGCTCTGGGTGTAGGGAAAGCCTAGGAAAGGACACAAATATCCATTTAGGCACCAATTATGGCATGACTCCTGGTGTGAATATCCTGGTAGGATGAAAGTGTCACTGGAGTTTAGCTCTTTATTGTCTGAACTACAGCTCACCGAGAAGCTGCAGGAGGAATTGATCATCACTTAGTTCCCTTTGACACTGATTCCAGACTGCAGCCTTGAAAATGCCCACTCCTAGCCCTGCTGAATACTGCAAGCTTCTCTCTTTGTGATGGGGAGGAGCTCCCTCACCTGCCCCAAACCAGCGTCAGTTATTACTCAGTGGTGAGTGTGCACCCAGACCGAGCATTTACTCTGAGAATTCAAGCTGTAAAATTCCCTGTTAAGGCTGCCAACACTCCCACCGTTTTCAACGTACATAAACAGTGAGTGAACATGAGTTCACACTCATGCTGCCCCCTGTGATTACTATTGTGTTTCTTGTTTCATTTATTCAAAAGGCAACTTAATAAAGTGTCTCAGTGCTGATGCAGGGTGGGGAAAAAGCAGCTCAGGAATGGCAATTAGTTCCTGAATTTCATTGTTACAGGCTTAGTCTTCGTAGTGAATGTTCCCCCCTTGGGCTGGGAAGGGGGATAGGGGTTTTGTGGGGTTTTGGCTCTGGGGGTGGGCTTTTCAATCCGGGGTTTTTGGGACTTGTGGCGTGATGCCGTGGGCGGCTGTGAGGCCGGACCTGAGGTTCGGCAGGGAGCGGAGCTTCCCCTCCTCCCGCTCGGGATCGAAGGTCGGCGGCTGCTACTGCAGGAGGTTGTGTGCTTGGCCCCGGGACTGCCCTGGGCTGCGGCTCAGCACTGGGATCCAGCCTGCCTGCCTTCCCCGCTCCTGCCTGCTGCTGCTGGGCAGTGCCATGATCCCCACAGCTCCTCCTGCTGTGATCATAACTACACCAAAGGGGAGAAACGCTACTTGGCAGGTGGGAAACATCTGCTCTTGCATTGTTGTTTCTGCTGTCCTGACTTTCTATGCCTTGGTTCTGTTTGATCTCACAATGGCAAAAGGCTACCTGAGGCACCAGCAGCCCTGGAGTTCACAGCATGAAGAGGCTGCTGTGGCAGAACATGAGTGAGGGATGCTTTTATGTTCAAGTGCTCCACTGTGGAACACACAGGTCCCTCATGCTGTGTCCCAGCCCAGGGAACACTCACCAAAGGAGATGTCCCCGAAGCTGAGCTCATCGAGGTCGAAGCGCAAAGTCGGTTGAGTGACATTGCCCCTGCAATGGCGAGGACAGAGGAGGAAATGGCTTGGTTAAAGGGAATTGCAAAGGTCCAGCTGTTGTGGCTTGGGGGCATAAAACCTGGTGTCAGGGCACTGTGGGGCTCAAATCAACATGTCACCATGTGCTCAGCACAGTGCCCCTGTGGACAGGAGGCAGCTAAAGCCAAGTGGCCAGCAGCCAACAGCCATTGATGGGGCTTTGGGCTCAGGGCAGGCAGGAAAAGCCCCCTGGTTGCTGGTGGTCCCATGAAGAAGAGGAGTGCCAAACATCCTCTGAAAAGAGCAGCAGCAGTTCTACACAGTGGACAGATGAATCCTAGAGGAAAGGAGCAGCTTGTCAGCAGTGCACCAGCTGGCACAGCCAAGAGCAATAGCTTAAACAACCAAACAAGGGTGTCCTGCACCTAGCACACCACCTCACCTGTCCTTGAACTCAGCAGACAGACTCCAAAAGTCACCAACTAAAAATCAGCACTTGAAGCTGCACAACACTCACGAGTTTATTTCATGGCTGATACCAGTCAATGCCCACTCTGCCTTCTGGTTCAAAATCAAGGACCAGTGAACTGTGCCTTCTGTTGTATTCCCAGGACTGCCACTGGCTCTGCTCTACACCTCTCAACAAGAGACACCTGCCCTTGCTCAAGGAGAAAGCTGCTTATGCAGAAACATCCCATGACCAGCTTGAGAGAGGGACAGAGGAGAATCAATTATTTGATGGTGAAAGGTTCCCTCTTGATTTCCAAAACAAAAAAAAAAGCAGGACTTTTCCTCCAAAAACAAAACCAGCATGATTATTTCTCTATTATAGGCAGACCTACTCACCACTTTTCTCTTGCTAAGTAGTAACTTTCTTGTTCTTTTTTTATCCATCTCCCTTATCTCATTGGTATAATTGACTGCAGATTGCTTTAATTTCTTTACTGCCTTGACCCAGTGCCTCCCAACAGCAGCAGCCCAGCTCCAAAGCTCCAGAGCAGCCAGCATCAGCTCTCCTGCTTACCCTACATGATCCTAGCAGCACATGGCTCAGGCTAGCAGGGACAAGCCCTCATGCTGCTGTGGTGCTGAGGACTGAGCTCTGCCTCCCCTGCTATCAGCCCTTCTCCCTTTTGCTGGGCCAGAATTATCTCTTGCCATGGCACCAGCCCACGGGATGACACCCCTGTCCTTGGGACAGTTCCTGCTGCACAGTTCCCTGTCTCCCACATCAGCCCTCTCCTGGCTGTGGAAAGGAGCTCCCAGGGCACTCTCTGCACAGGAGCTGAGAGCACGGCTCGTGCCCCACAGCATGGCTGTGAGAGGTGAGGTGAGGCTGCTGCTGCTGCCCATCTGGGATGGATTATTAACAGAAGTTTTTACAAACACTGCTGCTGGTGCAGAATCACCCAGGCTGGCCCACCTCCAAAGCCCTGGGGGCCTTGCTGGCTGTTCAGGGGGACATCCCAGAGCAGCTACTGCCCAAAGCTGATCCATCCCACTGCCTGCCATGGCCCAAGGCAGAGGGACATCCCTGCAGGGAGGAGTCATTCCAGCTCCTGGGTACCACACAGGGCAGGAGGCATCCTCACACTAAGGCAATGCCGGGATCAGAGCAGAGATTCAGACCTCAGGGAACACCTTTTTTCTCTGCTCAGCCCCAAAATGAGGAAGGTGGGGGATGTCCCAGATGTGCCCACCAAGCTCCCACAGTCCTTACTTGATGGTCAGGATTGCAGGCACAGGAGATCCAGCCACACTGAACTGAAATTCTTCCTCAAACGTCCCCAGCACAGTGGGACTGAAGGAGATCTGAATAGTCTGGATCCCACCTGGTGTAATGATGCCCTCCTCAGGTGCAAACTTGAAGCAGAAGCCCACGTTTGCAGTTGAAGGGCTATAGGTGAAGGGAGCATTAATAGCTCCTTGGTTAATCAGCTTCACCTGCAGCAGCAAGAAAGCAAAATGGAAATACACATGGAATCGTCCCTTCTTGTGAGTTATTTTCTAATGATGCAATTAACACACAGAAAAGGCAGAAGGTGCTTTGTGCTGCTGAATGGCAGAAGTTAAAAGATACAACAGGACAAGGTCTGCCTTTAGGTTTTCATGCAAAGCCGTGGTAACTCCACATAACTGCAGTCACCCTGGGGTTACCCCATGGACACAGAGCAGTCCACGCTGCTCAGCACCACCAAGCTCATTCAGACCTGGCCCTGAGAGCAACGTGGGGTGACTGCAGCTGCGTAGTGAATCACCACAGCGCTGCTGCTGCCCCAGCGAGCACAGCTCCAACAGTACCATCTACTCATTCACCTTTTCTCATACCATGAAAACAATACATTGGTTATGAGGCATCAGCATCTAAATGTATAGACAGCATCATCTTTTGGTAAGAAAACTCAGCCTGTCTTTGCCTTCCCCAGCCAAGCTTTTGAAAGTGTCTGGCATGATGTAGTGCCTCATTTTCTACCTCTTTCAGTTGCTCTCTCTTGACTTTTTTTGTAAACGTGACACTATTGGGGGAAGGCAAATAGGTAGAAAAATCCTTTGCTTTACTCCCAGGAACACGTTTCTCTTTGTAGAGCCAGAAATGCACCAAGGCTGAAGTATGGTGAGGGATTGGTCAGCAAGGGAAAGAATTCCCAAGCTCTTTGCAAGAGCCAGCACTGAGCCAGGAGGCTGGATGGCTTTCCTGTGGCTTCCAGGAATGAGCAGCAGACACTTGACTGGAAGCTGTTTGCAGTGGACTGGAGCCCAAACGCAGCCAGTTTGTTCCAGCTGCTTCTCAACAGCCCAGTACAAAGGTGCCTTGTGGCTGGCACTGCCACAAAAGCCTCTGAACGTGCAGCTGTCTGACCCACTGTTGCTCTCATGTGCCAAGGGGTTGTTCTGCAGGAAGCCTCCCAGCTGACCCCTAAGGAAGGCTGCCCAAAAGCAGGGACTGGGGCTTCATGAGCAACAGACACACCTTTCTGACCCCTTCAGATTTGACCAGTACATCAAATATTCCCTGCTCACAACTGCCCAGGTTGGCAGGAATTCCACGGCTCCACCAGGCTTGCTGCTGCCTCAGGAGCCATCAGGATCCATCCCAAGCCCTGCTGCTCACCTGACAGATGTGGGGGGTGTTGATAGGAATGTTCCCAAGGTTCAGTGAAGGAGAGCTGAATTCAACCAAGGGTCTTTGGCCTTCCCCTCTGATGTGCAGGGGCAGCCTGCTCTCACGGCCTGGGGAAGAGATGTTCATTTTAGTACAGTAATTCCCTCTGTTACACTGCATTTTCCAGGCTGCCTCAGTGCTAGTCCCTGACTCTGAGCTGGATGCAACCAGCTCCTGATGCTGCAGGAGAAATTATGGACCCTTCTCTTCCTTCATGAGATATCCCTTGGGGCTGACTTGCAATTTCTAACCCTTTCCTTGGGCTGGTTTCCAATTTTAACCACCAGTTTGCTGAGTTTAAAACATCTCTGATGTAGTGACAGGCCAAGGAGCAATGTGTAGAAATTGAAAGAAAGGAAAATTAGGTTAGATATTAGGAAGAATTATTTCACTGTGAGGGTGAGAATTATTTTACTGTGAGACACTGGAACAGGTTCTCCAGGGAAGATGTGAAGGTTCCAGCCCCAAAAGTGTTCAAAGCCAGGCTGGATGGGGCTTGGAGTTACCTGGTTTAGGGTGAGGTGTCCCTGCCCATGGCAGGGGCCTTGGGACTAGATGATCTTTAAGGTCCATTCCATCCTTACCATACTGTCATTCTGTGGTTTCCTTCCCATGCACTTAGAGGAGCTCTGAAATCCATTCAGTGAAGGCACAAAGCTCATAAAGAGTTTGACAATTACCAAACTACCTGGCCCACTGGCACACAACTTTGTTGCCCAAATCCTCAACTTCTGGCACTCAGCATTGTGTTCTACTTCCACAGACTGAGCTGCAAGGTGACAATTCCCACACAGGGACAGAAGCAGGTGCTGGCCAAGGGTGCTCCTTCTACAAACACCCTGGGCTCAGCGGGGCTCAGCCACTCTGCAGTATGTGCAGTGAGATTTGTCAATGTGCTCCGGTGACCCACTCGGATCACCGGGATTTCTGCATCAAAGTCCTTCAGGTGATGCTGAGGAGCTCTGTTCAGTCCTGGCCTGCCCAGGGTCTCCCCTGGGCATCCCACGAGACTCCTGTCTCTCCTGATCCCTTGGATCCCTTGTTGCTGACCAGCAAATACGCCTGGGGGCATGTGGGCAGCAAAAGGAGGCCCCCAGGAACAAATGAAGTGACAGCCCACAGCAGGAGGGGAAAACAGGTGAGGAAACACAACCAGCCTGGCTCTGTAACATGGCAAACCACTACAAAATGAACACCATGAAAATCATCATCATCTCCCTGTCTAAACCCACAGCCACATCAGTCTTGAAATATTTTATATTGTTCTGATCTCAAAAACCAAGCTGGAACATTGCAAATTAAATAAAAAAGGGACAAAGGAAAGATTAATAAGTACAGAGCAGCTTCTATTAGAATACAGCCTAGACCAAACTTAAAAGTTTCACCTTATGAAATAATGGTTAGTTTACCTTTTTTGATTTCGCCCAATATTATGGCCACTTATGAAGAAGTGGCCATACTATTGGGCCACTATTACTATTATGCATAGTATTACCATACTATTATGAAGAAGGGAGGGGCAGTGTCAAGAAATATGTCCTGTCCATAGCACAAACTTCAGAGAGACTCCAAGGAATAGGAAGAATCTCTCAGCCTGCTATCCTAGATTTCAAAACTCATAACGTCAATCCTGGGGACTGGGTAATCATTAAATCATGGAAAGACCAACCTCAACCCCCAGCTGGGAAGGTCCTTTTCAACTGCGACTAACCACCAAATTGGCTGTATGAACTGCAGAACAAAGATGGACTCACACAGGCAGGATAAAAGGACCAGTAAGAGAACCCTTTGACTGGAAAATCGTCACTTGCACAGAAGGACTTAAAATGACTTTAAAACATGGCAAGTAAACCACAAGCAACCACACTTCAATCCAGACTGGGAGGGAGTTCCCCGGGTGCTTTACTGATTCTTCTGTATTCCCAAAGGCCAGAAGCTTTCCAAATTCCAGGGTGCCATCTCTTCCACGCCCCGTGTTGCCATGGAAGCGCTCGGCCGCTTCCGCCTGCAACTATTTGTTACAACCCTGGAGCCCGGCGTTCGCCTGAGTTGGCCACGCGCAGAGGTGGCAACACGCCCCCCAGAAAAACCAGGAGTACCCCAGCGCCAGAAGCCACTAACCAATCAGAGTCAAACATGGTATCTTTAAAAATTATATAAAAATAAGCTATAATAAGAAAGTGGGGCTTTTTGATACTGAAACTTTGAAGGGTTATGCAGGTCGTTATTTGCCTTTGCTGTTTTAGGCAATGACCTCTTCAGAGAGTGGGGTCGAGCTCTCAGAACTCCCCTAACTCCATCCCTGCAAAACACTCAAAGCTCACAGCGAGGAGATAGCACTGCTGGGTGAGTCCAAGAGACACAGAAAGCAAAGTTGTACCAAGAGTGAGGTGCACAGGAATGTGTCCAAGTTTTCATTCTCTCTGTTCATTAGCATTTGTTTTCTCTCTCTGGGCTCAGAGGCCCCTCCACAGAAGAAAACAGAGGGATCTCCTTGACAGAGCCTCAGCAGTGGGGCATCTTCACTCAAGTGAGCTCCAGACACCAAGGGACCTCTGTGGCCTGACTCCAGTGCTGCCTGCAGGGCTGGATCTGCGCCCACACAGGAGATGAGAGAGAACAGCTGGCTTGGAAGCTCTTCCAGCTGGGACCAGCCGTGTCTCTCAAGGCTTTGGGCAGAGTTTGAGCTCCCCCCCCCCCCCCCACATGCCCAGGTGCCCAAGGGCAGGTTGGTCAGAGCAGCACAGGTGAGTGTCCAGCCTGACAGAAGGAATTGCTGCGGCAAAGGGAAAGAAGCACTTGCTCAGGGCTTCAGCTGCACATTGGTTTCACTTGGCTCCAGTGGCACAGCCAGGCAGGATGCTGGACTGTCCCTGAAACATCACACAGCCTTCCCTACTGCACCAGGACAGCCCCACCAAGAGCCAGGAGCAGGGCACAAAGAGGTGGGGAGGGGGTCTGCAGCTTCACAGCGCTGCTGACAACAGGGGCAGGGAGAGGAGGGACACGAGGGGAGTTTCCAGCTTTAACACAGCCCCAGGGAGTACTTACAGTTAAAGACTTCAGCATCTCCCTGGACAGAAGACGGAGGTGTTGGTGTCTTTTCTGGGAATCCAGAAGCCATTTTGAAGGGAGGATATCCCCGACAAGCAACAATGCCTCAACAAAACTGGAAGGAGCAACAATGGAACTCTGAAAATCCAGAACCTAATTCACGGAAGATTCAAGGGATATACTGGTGCTAAAAATATTGATATCATTTGAAAGTAGCTAAGTGCTTGTTTGGCACAAGTAGCTAGTATTGTTAGGCCTCTATCTGGACTTTATTTGAACTACATGGCTATGCTGTGCATTTCAAAGATGGCTCATACTGAAACCTGGAGCTAAAAAGCTGAATATTAATAATAGTTAGAACAGAAAAACCTGTAGCTTAAATATCACTTAAAAATAGCTCGAGTGGACCTCCTCCGCAACCCAATTCATGGCAGACCCAAAGGATATACTGGTGCTCAGGATTTGATATTATTGAAAAGTAGCAAGAGACAGAGTCCAACTTGCCCGACCCAGGGAGGTACCTGGGCAGTCCCACCTTGCCCAAATCTGCATTAATCCACTGGAGTCTTATGTTTTGTGAGACCTCACCACAGAGAAGACCAGAAGAGGATTTCATGGTTTCCAGAGGGATGCATGCAATGGAGACACCTTCTACTTAATCTGTCACTCTCTTTCTCTCCCCCTCTCCAACGCCCTTCTCCATTTCTCTCTCTCCCTTCCTCACATTTACTGTTACATAAAATCCAGACTATTGAAATTGGCATATGGTCTCGTTTGCACCTTAATTCAGGGGCATCTCCCTAATAATTTTAATAAGCAGATCATAACAACCTACTGAAACTTGAACAGAACTCATTCAACTTTAAGCAGTTTAAGTAATCGCTATAGGAAAAAAATGTATAGACTAGTATATTTAGGAAATTTTGCCTTTCTTCAAAAGCAAATTTTGAAAAAAAAAAAAGTGCAATCGGTGGACCATATTCATCCACTCAGCTGTACATGCCTGCCACTGAACTGCTGCACCAGAAGACTGGTATTATCACACCCTGTATTTCCCTCTGGAATTTCTCCTTCAGAGCACAGATGTGTCAAAACCAAAAGTACAACTTTAGTCAATCTTTACCTTCAAACGAAATTCAGGACACCCTCGCAGACACCAGCGGTCTGCGAGTTCAGGACTATGAACTCGGCGAATCGCCGAGCGTAGCCGCCTACAGGAGCCCAGGCTGCGGACAGCCAGCCCAGGAACGCGCTCCGCGGGCACTGAGGCCGCAGCGCCTCACAGACGCCGCGGGCCCGCTCGCGTTGCCCGGCAACCGCGGAACCGCCGGTGGGGCCGGGCCGGGCCGGGGGCGCCGGGCAGGCCTCGGTCCCCGCTCGCTCCGGCCTCGGTGCCCGCTCGCTCCGGCCTCGGTGCCCCCTCGTCCCTGGGCGGAAGCGGGAGGGATCCGCTCCGGGGCCCGGAACGTGACCGGCCAGACCCTCGCCCTCAGCTGCTCCTTCTCCACGGGAAAACCCAAGGTCTCAGCAGTTCGTGTTCAGCGCATAGCACCAGTGGCAACCAGCCAGCTGCAGGTCCTGGGAGTAACATACAGCTTCTCCTTCTTCTTAGGGACACACAGGGAGCAGAAGCAATTTCCTGGTGTAATGGTTTATCACCTAATCAGCACCCAGGGATTAGTGCTCCAGAAGAGGGACATTATCACATCCTGTATTTCTCTTTGGCATTCTCTTTCAGAATGCAGATGTGCTAAATGGAAAAAAAGCCCTACAATGTGTATCAACCTCTATCTGCAAATGAAATGCAATACTTTCAGATGTATTCCCAGCATTGTAATAAAAACACACTAGAACCATAATTGTTGCACGTTTCCTACTTGCAGTAAACTCAAGATTTTAATATTCTTTTCAAGTTTGTCTATAATATATAGGTTTATATATTCTAAAGAACTTAGGGTTGTTAAATTACTGCATACACCTTCAAGCTGCTGAACAACAGCACAGATTGATTGTGTCTTCAGCAGAACGGGTTTGTCTTAGTAAAAAGACTTAGAAGTGAAACACTTTCCAAGTTAACCAGAATTAAGAAAGTGCTTTTGAAAACAAAGGAGGGGAAAAAAGACCAACCCTACTGGTTTATGATGTTTCTAAGCCTACTACTCTGTGCAGCCTAAGGAAGCTGTAATGTAATAAGGGAAGAGAGATCTTACAGCCATGTTATCCAGAAGTGTATGGAAAACCTTCACAGAGAGTCCCTGCACGGCCGCTTTAAAGACCTGGTGACAGAAGAGCAACATAGGATTGACCTAAGACAAATATCCAATTAAAGTCAAATTACAAGTTATTTTATTTTCAAGATGTGGCTGCAGATTGTATGCTGCTCACCCTCCTGGGGGTCCAGAATGTCCTGCAATTATAAAAAGGTGAAGCACAAACATTTCTTATGCACCTATATTGCATTACCAACTCAATTTAGATCTCTGAAGTATTCATTAGAGTCAAGAGCATATCCAACCACAAATTTATCTGGATTTTCAAAGCCTGTACCTGTAAGAAAATACAGTTCCTTTTATACTTCAGTGGTGTAAGCAGCTTTTAAGCGCACAGTTGATATTCAACACATACTTGAGCTAAGAATAATAGGCATCATCTCTTTCAGGGTGCTTCCTTAAGAACCTGAGCTGTAAATTGATGACAGAGGTTAGAATCCAAACCATTCCCATGAGACAGTAATATAATTAAGGTGTTAAGAGAATGATTCCTATTGACAAAATAATTGTTTAAAATCTAGTTATGAGTTAGTCCTGGGAGAGGAGAAAAGGAATGAGATTTTACTTGAGTGAAAGTAGATGAACTGTGATTCAGTAGGACTTTTCCGTTTGGAAACAAGGCAAGTTTAATAATATGGAGTCAAAACAAATGCCCTCTAGGGTCAAAGCAAAGCAAAACACAGTTAAGGTTTGATTCTGTTTCTGCTATAGTTAAATTAAATAGTTAAATAGGTAAATTTGAATATCAAATAACTAAACCTGCACTCCAGCCAACCAGGGGAAAAAAAATAAGGTACTCATGAGGTCTCAGGATAGCATAGCTGGCCATTAGCTTTTTATGTCGTTTCCCCCCATTTCTCTTGGCCTTCATGAAACTTAGGTGACAGCTGTCAGATGTGCCACCTGAAGTGAAACTGCAGGACTGTGTTTTGGAAAATACAGAAAAAAAAAAACAAAACGAGAAGAACATGATACTTACAGTCTGGTCTGTAACCTGGACTCTGACATGTCCTTTCAACGAGCAGGCTGTAAGGCAGAGCAGAGAAGGCTGGTTTTTAAAATGTCTTGCTCTAAGCTCTAGTCTTCCATTCTGCCACGTCTCCCCATAAGCATCTAAAATCATGCACTTAAATTAAAACAGTGAGATTCTTGCACAGAAAGAAGTAGTTTTCAGCCTCATAGTGAAGGGAGAAGCAAAGGCTCTGATCTAGGTTCATTCTTTATGTCCAAGTGGCTCGTCTATTCAGTTCCCTTCAAGCCTGTCTCTGATCTTTCCCCTTCCATGCAGTGATGCCCCAGGACACTAGAATAGCACAGAGGGGGAAGCATGTCCAAGCATTACTATGGCTGGTAATGATTTTAGTGGGGTGGAAGGGAAGGAGGGAGAAAAGGACAATTTCTTCTGCAAAATTACATCTAGTCTTGGTTTGCCTGTGCACTTCAGAAGAAATTGAGAACCTCCTGGACAGTAACTAGAAGAACTGTCTGAATAACTGATGCTTAAAGCAACTGTTTTTATAAAGCACTGCGGTTACTTGACAGACACAGGGATATTCCACAAAATTTCCTTTTAGAGGGCTACTAAAAGCAGATCTAGAATGCTACTTGAAGTTATCTTCCCAGTGCTGACAGACTTTTAGATTCTGGAAACTTCTACAGTTGAGGATATCAAGAAATCTTCTGAGTGTTGTCATTCCAGTATTGAGGCAACTGAGGTGGTGTTAGAAAACCTATGGAAAGAGATTAATTTCCTTTAAACATAAAGTAAGAAACAGGTAATCCATCAGACTTTATGGACTACATGGAAAGAGCCATAAAACCTTGTTTTTATTAATCTGAGCAGTGAAGATGGTAGTGCACGGGTAAATTTCCCAGTTTAAGAAACACTTAATTTTTCAGCAACTGGATAAGGATTACTTCCTGCAATTGCTTCCTCCCCTTCCAAACTTCAAGCCAAACAAGCACCTGTCAGCATACACTGACTATTCACCCAAATTATTTGAATATGTTAGTTAGTGGCTATATCCTTGTACCGTACAACTTTTACCATCCTGGGTTTCCTGTATTTTTGAAAGCCAAGCTTTCAGTCTCAATAATGTCCTGAAAGAGATAAAAAATAAATTATCCTTTATGTTTGGAAGGAAAACCAGACTGTCAGTGGATAAAATTATAGCATACCAACCTGGCAGCACAGTAACATTATTAATTATTACTTTATATGTAATATGTATTAATTTGAAAAGGGAGAAAAAAAATCCTTGTCGTTCCACCCCTCCTTCAGTCATTACCTACCTCTACTACTAACACATTTTGGAGGAGAGGGAAGGAGAGAGGAGAGGACTTAAATGGCATTTTGCAGCAAATTAGACAGGCAAGAAAAGCACACTAAAATTCAGTTACAAGGAAGTTACTGATTTGCAAAGGAAATTGTCACTTCAACTATTGACTTTACTATGGCACTTTCTGAAGAGTCTTTCTGTAAGTATTTATGAAAGCTTAAAATATGGTGATAAAGGCACCTATGTCAGATCTAGATATTGCTCTATGTAAAGCATTAGTATTCTAAAGCCACACTGAATGAATCAGTTTAGGTTCATTTCTGGGCATTCTGGGATAAAATGGGGAATAGGATCTTTGGGAGCAGTCATTCTGATCACTTCAAGTTTCCACTGTTATCAGTGGGAATTATTCTCTGCTTCAAATCCCAGCATTTTAAATTTAAGTGGCTGGAAGTATGCAGTATCAAAATCTTCATAAAGATGGATTTTCTGGAAGATACACAAGAATAGTTGTTTCCCTTCAAAAGCTGAAGATGGTAATTCATACCTTCCCATTTAGTGCAGACAGTTCCTCTCCAAAAAAAACCAACCTTTTTTTTGTTTGTTTTTTTTTTGGTGTTTTTTTTCTTTTTTTGTTTTTTTTTTCAGAGAATCATTCTAGAAGGAGAAAGAAGAGCTCCATCTCTTCTTTGTATGAAGTCATACAAAGCATGCCCAAAAATGTTATCCTGTATTTGTTTGAAAGGTGTGCTGCTCTTGCTTCTTGCAAGAGGAGGGAGTTTGAGATCTGTCCCTGGCTTTGTCATGTTGGGTATTTGCTATATGTTTATTCCAGTGAATGTATAATATCCACCCTTTAGGGCAGATCAGTAAATCAATTCCTACAGCTGTACAACCCTGAGCATTTCATGCATGCAATTAATAAAACTATAGGTTTGAATGTCCAGCAATTAAAAATTAATTCAACTTCTTTTTCTATCTCACAGAAAATCTGGGTTTGCAATAAACTAGAATACTTCATACAATACAGATGCCTCCATTCTCTGCACACCTGTAACTCAGTCTGATCTACAACAATGATAAAAGTTGCAGGTTGTAGTTTCACACAAATCCAACGTTTTTCCTGAGTTTTTTGCTCACATTGAAATTATCTTAAGGACTTACTTTTGCTTTCTCCTTCAACTCTGGAAAGATATGATTCGTTTATCCTGTGTTGGTAAATAGGCCAACCTCATCGTGCTGTTTTCAATTGAATTAATTCTGTGTAAAATGTATTTTCTTCCAGTTGTCTTGTAGACATCTTTTTCTGACCTGCACATCCAATTCCTCTGCATTGTTCACATTTAACAAATTATCATATAATTTCAGAGACAACTGTTCAGCTTTATAAAATATGAAACAACATTAATAGTTAATATTTTATCAATTAGCATTTTAAAAATATTTATTATATTTTAGTATGATGAGGGCCAGCCCCAACAATTTAATGCAAAAAAAAAATTTTTATAAAACTTAGATTAATACATAAATGTTAACACACTTGAAATATAAGCTGCAGTTACAAGAGGTGAGCTTGCAATTACAGTTCCTATAAACTGTTTGCACAATGATGCTGTGAAAAAAAAAAAAACAACTACTTTTTCACTGACATAACTCTGGGTTCTTGACTAGTACCAGTCTCCGCATTATTTAAAAAAGACAATTCCATATTAATGGACACTGCAAATCCCCACACCCCTGACACAAGACTGACACCATGAATGCTTTCAAGCATCAGCACTTCATTATTCCCCAGTGCAGCCTTTTATACCCCTTTGCCCTATGCATAACACCTGTGTGCCCTTTTAGCCCCTTGTCATTGCTCAGTGCACTTCAGCGTTTCAGCGCTCCTTTTCCCTTAACATGGTCACCTGTTTTACACAGCTGCACCTTACCAGGGGTGAGCTTGCCTGCAGCACTATCTCTATTCTCTTACAATGCATTCTCTCACACACCCCCCAGTCTTACACAAACCTCTCAGTTGTGCTTGCAGCACAGAAATGTAGATACAGGTTTGTTTTTTCCTGATTAGCAATTGCACACCCTCCATGCTCTAGAGATTAGAGGACAAGGTCTCTGTTTCATGGGTGGTATCGTACAGATAATTAATAAAAAATGAAACAGGGGGCCTAAAACTACATCCTGCTTCAGAAAAAAAAAAAAATCAAGATTTCTTAATATTGGAGATTAATGTAGACACAGTGGTTTGAGGCTTGATTATCTCCTGGTTTATTCTCTCCCTCTAGTGGTACATCCCCAGGAAGAGAGTATCCACTGGGTATTAAATGACAATGTTCATATTTTCCACACAATTATAAATGGGAAAGCTTTAAGAAATGGCCCTACATGGAGAAGTTTCACAAATGCATTTTTTGCAACACTGTTGGAATTTTTCCTTCTCTTTTTTCTGCCTAAGTCAGTTCTTGATAACAAATAAACAATTTTCTGTGCAGAAAACAAACATCTTTTGGAGTACACAGAATCACAAAGTAGCTGCAGTTAAAATCACTTGTGGAATCAGCAGAACACAGAGATGGAAACAATCACTGTCATTTTTAAAGCAGCAACAGCAAGCCTACTCATTTGTTTGCAGTTCTGCAGCACAAAAGTCGCAGCTTTGATGAGTTCCTCATCCTGAGATTCTGTCAATAGCTGAATCATAAGTGGCAGACCATTGTTCTGAAGCAGCTCACACTGGTTTTCTTCTAGAACAAGACATGGTAAAGGAAAAGGTTTGATTTCAGCCCCACACACCTTAACCTTACAGTAATTTTAGGAGCCAAAACTGGCAACTTTCTGCAAGTTTCTGTAGAAAGAGAGGTTTTCATTACAGACCCAAGCGTGCTGCAGTGACAGCAGGAGAGCTTTACATCACACAGGATGATTTGACCAGAACTCAGATTTCTGTAAGAGTTTGAAGGATTGAGACCACTTATTCGATGGAGTTCCAAGCTCATTTAATTGTGGCCTAAAACATTTCAATCATGACTCCTGTATTTCTTCTGTTCCATTACCTGCTCTTGGAGTAGATATGTGACATTCCTGTGAGGCCTGAGATGCAGAAATATCAAAATCTCAAGGTTTATAATGATCAAAATTAAATTAGTAGTTTAATCCTGGTGTAGCCTGTTCCTCCTCATTTATTACATAATTAGCTTAATTTTCATTATGATCTTGTTCACATATGTATTCATATAACTGATAACTTGCTAAACATAGTTCTTTCTTGCTTAAACAATTAAACAATTAAAAAAAAAGAAATTAAAAAATTAAACATTGTTGGAACCCTGGATGCTGAGAATTTTAAACTTTCTGTGCTGAAAGGCACAGATCCACAAGAGAGCACTGCATTTGACCTGAGGCTGTGGAGAACACGTTAAAAATTGATTAACAGTACTGGAATTAGTGGGTATGTAGTTGGTTAGAAGTGTGTAATATCACAGGGTGGAAAATTTAATGAGTTTGGGGATTTAGAATATAGAAATAAATATGAAGCAAGATGGAAGTTTTAGGGTGGAGACAGGTTGCTTTTTACTTTCTTCTTCCTTCTTCTTCATGTGTTTGGGTGATTTTTTGTAATTGGACAGAAAAGTCCACATTGCAGGCTTAGAGGGATCAGTTATTGGGTTAAAAGGGAAAATAATCTAGGCGTCATTTCTTAATTGGATTGTTTAGTCTTAAAAGACTTTGTAGCAAGAGATAGTTAGCCATTTTGTGCCTTGCTAATGAAAGACTGCACAACTAATGGTTGTGAGACTATTTCACTGATATGAAATAATAAACACCCGAGTGTGAACACGAAATACCCTCTCAAGTGCCTTCAATACCAATCTCGCGAAACCCATAAAACATTTTTTATTTTGATAGTGTTGACATTTAAAGAGGAAACTATTTTTGTGTTGGTTTAATCATCTTTCTAGTCAAAAGACATTTTCCATTAAGTCTTGTTTCACTAATTCTTCCTGAAAAAATGTCTGCTAAAATAAATTTATGACCTATTGAGCTAATTATTGGACATGATATTGGCACTCAGAGGATGAAAATCAACCAGAATTTTTGAACATAAGGCTTCTTCTTGTTTATCTAAACATACATGAGAAAAAACAGAAGTACAAATTAACTTCCCTTTCTCTTTGCTTGCACTGCCACAACATACTCACTGAAGTGCTGTATTTGTACCAGATATACCCGGGCAAGCCCTGAGGAAGGTGACAAAAACATTTCAGGGCTACCTACTGCATCTGTGTCTTAAAGACCAGTGCTCTTACATGGCTTTTACAAATATTACTGGCCTTGTAAGCAGTGGACAGAAGCTGTATGTGCTAAGGACCATGAAAAAGAGAGCTCAGGACAACTCATTTGCTATGTCTGGATTGCAGTAGCTTTCAGGTCTGGACTAATTATTCCCTGTGACCCCTAAGCCCAGCTCTGAATTCTTGCATGATTAGTCTACGTTTTCAAAGCTACTAAAGACACTTCCTGCTAACAAGCTTTCAAATTTAAGGATGGAACATTACAGAAAACTTCTTGTCCGAATATTGACATTGTATTGTTTAATAGAACTCTCTCTCGTGTTCCAGTCTTGATAAAGTGACACCACTGGAGGAGTCAGTGTATGAGAATTTAGGAGAAGCTGACAGACAGGAAAAAGAAAAAGCAAATCTTACCACAATCTTCAGTACAGTGTCCAATTGTTAGAATAATACTGATTTTTTCCCCTGTGCTCAGTGTCTCATTGGACAGCAGCTTCAGCAGCTCTGACACAGTGTGATACTTTGCCAAGACAACACCCATGGCAGCTGTTTGTTAAAATAATTGGAAGGAAAATAAAGCCGATCATGAGTGTACAGGAATTATCCAAGGATAAAATGCTGGGGTTTGAGGGAACTCTACAAACCCCTGAAAGCCTTGGGCCTGCTCAGGCCTGCCCTGCTCCACCTTTACCAGCTCAGATTGCCCCATCCCCCTGTGCTGCTCCCAAATCCAGCCCTGCCCATCCTCCCGGCCTGTGTGCTCCCCGGAGATGAGGCAGAAGATCTGATGAATGAGGGCTTTGCACTGTGCAAGCTTTGGAGATCCCTGCTGAGTTTCTCCACGTCCTTTATCAGCTCCAGCACAGAGCCAGAGAGATTTGGATCAGCTTTGACACACAGAGTATCTGCCATAAAAAGAGCAGGGGGCAAGCCCTTCCTGGCACTGCTAGTCCATCCATGCTGAGGCCCAGTCCTGTCACACCCAACTGATCTGAAACTACCCTCAGAACTGGTGCAGGTTTATGCTTTTAAACGTTTGTGAACTTCCATTTGAAGCTCTTATGGCACAAGTGTGAGATACAGCAACCATGGCCACAGCACAGGCTCGTTAGGGTCCCAGGTTTCTGCAAACCTTCTGTGGAATACACAAGACCTCATCAGGAGAGCAGTAGCCAGCCAGCAAACCAGAGCACAGTGTGCTGTGCAGAAACACCACATTTGTGCAGCTCCACACAATTTACTGAATTACTAAAGCTTCCTAAGGCTACACAATTTATTATTCAGGCATAGGCCTAACTCCAGGATCCAAACTGACTGGCCAAATCCAGGCCCAGAGCTCAGCTTTACTTACCCAGCACAAGCTGTAGCAATTTTTTTTTTCATTTTCAGTAAGGTTTAAATTTCACTGTATTCATTTTAGCAACAATGGGACAGTAATCCACCTCAGATGAACTGACACCTTTGAATTTTAAAAAATACTGCAACATCCACTTGGATGTACAGAACTTAACTGCCTTTAAGCATTCATTTCTATAACTTTGCCACCAGCACAAGACTTTAAAAATTGCATTTTTAAATTACCATAGATAAAAAGTGTCTTTCCACTCACAGTTATTAGCAATGCAGGCATCCAGAGTCTTTGTTACTACCACTGCAAGTTTCATGCTGGAGTGACTCAAACAGGAATCATGCATAAGCTCAAGAAGAACTTTGGCTAATGTATCCAATCCTCCGATAGAAGCAAAATATTTCTGCACATATGCTTAGTGGAGAAAAGAAAAAATGTGATTTGAGTGACAGAGTTTGCAAATTCTTTTAGCATTTCACCAAGTAAGTCCATCAGAGTTTTTCTGTGCTAGTCATTACATTTCTTATATACATCAATCTCAAGAAATGTAGTAACTGCATATAAAACAGAAAAGATGACCCTAATATGTGCACACAAATGGCAAACATCATGCCTGAGTTCTACCTAAGTCATTGCTTTCAGTCATGTAATGAGGACTTTAATTTAGACACACTTTGAATCCGAACAGCTCCAGTTTTACTGACCCTATGAAATGTGACCAGATGGTGGCTATCTGTGGACTTGAGCACAGCGTAGTGTAAGTAAAGAAAAGCTGGAAGAACAGCAAATGACTTTGTAGAGATTGACAAGAAAGAAAAAAACATTTAGCTCTCTAATTAAACCTCCTTTTATCAAATGCAGAAGTGTGTAAAACTTCAGCTGCACTTACAGTTATTTGCAACTGTGAGACCAAGAAATGAGCAAATGGGACGAACTATCTCGGGTTCCGTGCAACTCTCGAGCCACTCTTTGGCATAGGGAAAAACCGAACAGCAAATGTTTTGATTATCTTCTGGAAAAGTAAAAACAAATTACCCCAAATCAAAAGGCAAAGAAATGAAACTTCAGCTGAACTGTAAAAATGAAGGCAAGGTGTTACCAATTTGGAGAATATCTTGGAAGTTCTTTCACAATTTTCAGAGCAACACATACCGTTCTGGGGGTTGTTGACACACGCACAGAGAGTGCTGCACACTGAGGACCAGAGCTGATAGCAGGGATCAGTGTTTTCATCTAACACATTCTTCTCAGAGGTGGAGAGAGTTGTTCTGTTAAGGACAATGCACACAAGTCCCAGATAGCCAAGGAAACATAGCTGCCAACCAGTCCATTATTTGTCTGTTTGAATTTCAACCCTGTTTACCTGAATAACTGCAGCAGCAGGCTGATGCAGCCTGTATCTCTGACATAGGTTTGCCCATTTTCTAAAAGAGAATACACACAAGACTCCAGAGACAAATGCAATTGCAGACAAAATCTGAACATCAAGATTAGTTTACATACATACATTCCCTTTCCTAAGCACATATCCTCCCCAGAAGGAAATACAAAATCATATCAACATATTGGTAAATAACCTTTCTATGTCTCTCTCTTTCTATACACTCTCAGAAATTATGGGCTTCCATTGGCAAACTGTATTTTTAGAACTAAACCACGTTCTGCTGTTTAAGGAAATCCCAGTGAGCAATGACCTACTGCAACAATTCAGGTTCAGGTACATGCAAACATTCATCTTTATAAACTAACTTCACCAAAACATTACTTATTGCATGTTCCAAATTTTGTACTGCAGATTGGAAAACAGAAAAGGATTGTTGTTGTAACACAGGAAAAAACCCAACTTACTATTATTTGAAACCAGTACTAAGATGACATAAACAGACATTCTTTTCAAGTTCACACCAGAATCCTTTTTAATTAAAAATAAAATGAGGTCTTCAAACAATGCAGAAGTACACAAAGTCTGTTGACAATACACTGAAAACAGAAAGTGAAAACCATTAAGTCCTAAAGTAAGCCACTCATAATCCTAAATTATTAAGTCTCAGTTGTGGCCAGTATGTGGGGAGTGGAGACAGGGCAGGACTATGAAGTGACTGAGGGCTTCCCCCTGCAGTGAGCTCTACACCAACCAGGACCCTGGCAAGCTTTGCAACAATCCAGGAGTCACTGAACATTTGCTGCTGAGGGAGAGGGGGAGTGCAGGTGTCTGGAAACTTGAAGACACCCTGCGTGCACAAGTCAACAAGGCACTGATCAAATCTGGGGATGGACAGGGCAACTGGCACACCTTCATTGCCCTTGCTCCAACTGACAATCTTGTAGTCTCATTCTGTGAGACCAAAAGAAAATGGAGACAAGGCACGAGCACAAGTAATGACAGGGGCCATGGTGCACTCAGAAATACAAACAATATTATTTTTACTACCATTACTCTCTATGATAATCCCCAATGTAAATAAAGCTGCTTCCTTTACGATGCAATGAGCACTCGACTTGGCAAGGTCATTTATAAACATCAAACCACCAATTTCTCGAAAGTATTTGCTCGCTTCACCTACAAGAGGAAAAAAGAACAGAAACTTTTGCTTTTGTTTCTCTGCAAAATGAAAGGCTTCTAAGATTTTCCAACATCTCCAACCTTATGTCCTTTGGACATTTTTACAGGGCCCACCAGTTTCTTAGCATACATGGTGAACAGAAATGACTGCATTGTTTCTAAGGAAAAGCCTTCCTTCCTTACTGTTTTGTTGGCAAATGGAATAGATAGTGATCAAAGCCTCCTTCTGAGACAGAGGGCAGTCCATCTGATATTTAAGGCATTCAAGCAGTAAGTTCAGATCTGTTTTCATGTCTAGGAGCAAACACAAAAACCTTCATTAAATTTGTTATATCTTCTTTATGTTAATCTAGTCAGTATTAGAACAAACCTGTCCAAAATGTAGTATGCACATGTATTTCAAAAAAGGGGGAAAAGGGACTCAAAATGGAGCTACATCACTTCTATTCAGCCACAAACAACAAACCAAGAAGTATTTCTGTCTATAGTTTGTTAGTTGAGCATGATTTCCTTTGCAGAATAACAGCCTCCTTTTAACATTTCTGGCCTTTATTTACTAGTAACTCTTAGTAAGTCTTATGTCAACTACTAAATAGTAAATTCACAATTGCAAGATGCATTAGGTGTAAATAAGACACAGCCATTAAAATATTCAGAGTGCAAATACAGTTGAAAATCTATGGAGTAGTAAGGAAAGAGCCCAAGAGCACAAGGCTGCTCCGTGGTACTGAGTTACAGGAGACACAAATCATGCACCACAGCAGCAGAGCCCTCAGTCAGGTGGTTGGAGACGTAACACAAAATATCCTCATACAACCCTAGGTGGGTAAACAGACTTGGAAAATATGCTTCTGAGTCTTTGGGGTATAATTAAAAGACTTATTTGATAATTATTTATAACAGCGACAGAAGGTATTGTTTATTGTAAACCCTTACAAGGTTTGGGGGCTCTTGGAGAAGTTAAAATACAATAAAAATGTGGATAAATATTAGCAAATTAAAAAAAAATGACTTCTTGGTGGTGTGCTTTACTATGCGTGTAGGTTTGTCACTTGATTTACCCTTTGCATATCCAATACAGTATCCGAAATGTGGCAACTAGGAAAAAGCACATTTTCCCAACTGCTCACCACCCCACAACAGGCGTGTCACAGTCTACTAAAACTTTGTAAAACTGATGCAGACTATCATGACAAGTTATATTAGGTTATCTTACCACACTGATTTATCTGCACCTTTTGAGTGTTCATTTTTGTTTTATCTCTGTTCTTGTTCTACAACAGCAAGGAAAAAGTGTTTTCAGTTCTGATCAGATTAGCAGTGTTATGCTAATAACGATGATAGATGCAGTATAAATGACATCATTCTTCTAAAATGCACTTTTTCCAGTTTTCTGCTTTTACTCTGGCATCTCACACACACAGTTTCATGTATTCTTGTATGGCAAAGTTTTCCTTTGGAATTACAGTATTTTAGAATAACCCTGCATTTCTAACTACCAGGTTATCATGTGAAAGTGGACATTCTGCAGAAATCAGGTAATTCCATGTTACCATTGAGGGGCACTGTCAGTAAAGAATATCCCCTGCTCTGTGTCGCTGATCACAACAAAGCTGATCCAATTTTCCTTACAAGAGTGGCCAACTTTGCCATCAGCCAACAACTGGCACTAAGACCAAGTAATATTACTTAGGGTGTGAACACTAGAAAACACTCAGCCTCCTGCTGCTCAAGGAGCCACTAAACCATCAGCATTGTTCTGCCAGTACTGATCAAACCAAAGTCTATGATCACAGAGACATAGTCCTGACAGGGAGAACTCATTTAAACTCACCAAAGACATTGTCACATTACATGAACCATGTAACCCACAAAACCCCACAGCGTTGATTCTTCACAAACCCAACGTGGCAGCCTCTGAGAGCAGAGCAGCAGAGTGACATTCAGCTTTGGAGGCAGAAAGATGCTCCCTCAAACACGCCCCAAGTCCCAAACACAGAAGGTTGATGCAAGCATCACAGTAACCTATTACAATTTCTCAAAAAATTACTTAGTTCAGGTAGAAACTTTAAATCAGCGCCGAATCCAGCTTAATAATGGATTTGTTTTCCTTCTCAAAGTGGAGCAAAGGCTCAAAGCAGAATCGTTGTCATCTTAACGAAGACGGCCAGCCCTGCTTTCTCTTCAGAGTTACTGATCGCCCCCATAGAATTGAGAGAGTTCATCTCCCTGCAGCCTTTCAGAAGTGAGAACAGACATGCATTTCATTTTCCTGCAAATCCAACCCTGCCACAACAAGGAAAAGCTTGTGAGCCTTCCTCACCTCTTTTTGTCCTACTACCACCACTCCACCAGCCTAAGAAAAAACGAAAACCACCCAAACAAAAGGAAGGCTGTAAAAATGAGTTCACTCGGGAGCTAATTGCATTTCAGAAGAGTTTAATTTAATACATGTTTATACAATTATACAATTTAGGAAGCACAAAGGGTTTAAAACTGTATGTATACAAGGACACATCCTGGCCTCACCTGGATCTTTTTTACTTTTGCAACCTGCAAAGGTACACAAAATAGTATTTATAAGCCAGCCTACATTAATTAGATGCAAATAGCTCACCCTCTGTTGCTGCATCACAGGGCAAGGTGGAAAGACAGGAAAAGAAATTTGCTTCAAAAAACATCGCACTAATGTTGCATGTAATTCTCCATCAGTTATGGAAAACAACCCAGTAACATTGCTTCAAACCTCAGAAACCACTCCTGGAGAAGTGCAGATCTGTCAGTCTGTGTGCTCAGCAGCCCTAGAGCACATGGCTGGCACGGTCAGTAGACCAGTCAGCCTCGGCGGGACTTATCCTTGGAAACCCAGGGACCAAATCCCAGAGGGGAGAAGTGCGGGTTGTTGGCGTCCTGTGGAAACCAAACCCCACAGCAGCAGCTGAGGCCGTGAGGACGCTGCGCTGTGCAACAGGACTTGGGAGCGTCCTGGCCTATTTCATCTCCCTCGCACCCTCCTCCCTCAGATGAGCCCTGTGTGATTTACAGCTCATTGTCAGAGCTCCACTCTGAAGTCTTAGCAACCACTCCAGATCAGCCCAAATATAAAAGGGAAAGAACATATAAAAGATTTAAAATAAAAAGGGGGGTGTGGGGGGGAGGCAACAGTCTAAAGATGAAGCAGCAGCTGCATTCTTCTGTGGGAGGGCTGGGGAGTCCCGAGGCGGGAAATGGGGCACAGCTCAGGTACCTGCGATCCGGCGGCGCGGGCGGCTCCGGGCACACCCCAAGGCGAGGCGGGCGCTCAGTGCCGAGCGCTGCCCGGCTGAGGGGTGGGACCTGCGGGCTGAGGGATGGGATCTGCGGGCTGAGGGGTGGGATCTGCAGGCTGAGGGGTGGGATCTGCGGGCTGAGGGGTGGGATGGCCGGGCTGAGGGGTGGGACCTGCGGGCTGAGGGATGGGATCTGCGGGCTGAGGGGTGGGATGGCCGGGCTGAGGGGTGGGATCCCGCGGATCTGAGGGCAGCCCCCGGCCCGGCCCCTCAGGAGACGCCGCAGCCGCAGCGCCGCCCGAGCGCCTCCGGGCGCGGCAGCCCTCGGACTGGGACAGCTCTGAGCATTCCCTCAGCCAGGCGGGAAGCGCTTGGAATTGCAGAACCGTCAGGGGTGAAAGAAATCTTTAAGATCATCCAGTTCAACGTCAGCCTATCAATGCCACTTGTGGTAGGTAAGGGACAGGTGAAGCGGAAGATCACGGGATGTCACAGAAAGATAGACCCCTCCCCTTCTCCCTTCCCCACAGTTAGCTATTAACCCCTGAAGCCCCAGAAACGTGTAGCCACACCTGCCTTGGTAAATTTCCACTCCCGACTAACCCCTGAGACCCCCCAGCCCCCCTCTGACGTAGCAAAGACCCCCAAGACTATTTAAACCCACGAGATGAGATAATAAAGGCTTTTTGACCGTCTGCCACATTGGTATCTGCGTGTGTTGATTACCCGAGTGGCCTGGGCGAGACCAGGCCGCCGTGCTGCCTCACCTGAACCAGGTCGCACGTTGCCCCTTATAAAGGCAACATACTGGTGCCGAAACCCGGGAAAAAAGAGAGAAAAAAAAAAAGGAAAAATTCCCCCGGCGGACGGGATACACTTGGACGGGAGCAGCGGCCGGAACGGTCAAACCGTATCTAGGCGCAGAGGAGACGTCCCCGGGATCCGCGAGCGTCATGGACGCAATCGCCAGGATCGTAAGTGCCATTCATACACAGTGGGGTATTGGTTGTAAGCTCAAGGATTTTTATCTTGCCATAGCGAGGTTGCTTGAGCTTGGGGCAATTGAGCGCCCTGTGGATGTGTTACATCCGGAAATATGGGAAAAATGCACTGCCGCGCTAGCCGAGGACACAAAATCCTCAGGCAGTGGCAAAAACCTTAAAGCGTGGGGCAAGGTAGAGAAAGCCCTACGCAAAGCAATAGAAGAGCAGGAGGCATGGAGCGCGGCGCGTACGTGTTTATTAGTTACTCCCAAACTCGGTGTGGGAGTGGGAACGCAGACCGCCCCTGAGAGCGATCCGCCCGGCGGCGGGGATCCGGGGGGGCTCAGCGCGACACCCGCTCCCCCAGTTTAGAGCCCACCCCCCGCCGCAGAAGCCCCCCGAGACACCCCCGCCGCGGAAAACCCCCAAAAAACCCCCACCGCTAAAACCCCCCGAGAGACCGCAGCTTCCTCCGTCCCGCCGCCGCCACCGGCCCGCGATCCGCTGTCGGAGACGCAACGGCGCGCGGAGCGCTTCTGGCAAGGGCTGGCGAAAGAAGCCCGAGACGCAGAAACCGCGGCTCGAGAGAACGCGGCCGCCATGCCGCCTCCTTATCCCTTTGAAAATGGTGCCAGGTGCCGTGGAGGGGGGCGGGGCCCGGGTAATCTCGGTGCGAAAACTCGAGAGCCACGCGATTTCAGGGGCGTGCGTGCGCGGGAGGAAGAGGCGGAGAGCGGCACGGAGCGCGGAGCCAACCAGCGGCCGCGCCTGAAGCTGCCACCATATAAGGGAGAAACCACCCCCCGCGGGAGGCGCGGTGAGCCGGGGGGGCGGGAGCGGCCCCACCCCCACGGGGAGGAGCGAGCTCGGGGCCGGACAAAACGGCGCGGAGCCCCGGAAGTGCGCTGGCACTCGTCTTCTGGCTCGGAGACCAGCGACAGCTCCACCAGCTCAGGGGAGCTGACGGAGGCTGGCTATGGCTCCGAGACGGACGAAACGGAACCAGCACAGTTTGAAACAAAACCGAGTAAAGCTCTAAGCCGCGCCGAAAAACAACTACAATACGAATCAGCCCAGTTTACTGACTGGGGGAAAATAAAGATAGCCTGTGCTGATTGGTCCCCAGCGGCTGCCATACAAGCTTTCCCGGTGAGGCTCACCGGTCCGGAAGGGAACCAACAAAGGGTATATACCCCGATAAACCCAAAGGACATACAGTCAATTGTCAAAGCCATCGCAGAAAAAGGGATCAACTCGGCTATAGTCACCACACTAATCGATGGTCTTTTTAGCAACGATGACTTGCTTCCCTTTGATATCGAACGGATAGGGCGTATGATACTGGACGGGGCGGGAATGATCGTCTTTAGGCAGGAATGGGAGGATAATTGTAGGAAGCAGTTAGCCCAAGCGTCTGGCGCGAGGCAGCCATTACACAGATCGAGCTTATCCAGACTGATAGGAAAGCATGATGATATGATCATGCCGCAGCAACAAGCCGCGCAGATGCAGGCTGAGGAGGTCAGGGCGACCACTCAGGCTGCTAGAGAGGCTATCCGCGCCGCCTCCCGAGTCCTGGCTAAGCCAGCACCGTGGTCCACCGTGAGGCAGGCAGAGAGCGAAAGCTTCACACAGTTCGTAGATCGCCTGCAGGCAGCGATAGACTCCTCCACCCTGCCGGCAGAGGCAAAGGGCCCCGTGGTGGCTGACTGCCTGCGCCAGCAATGCAACTCCATTACCAAGGATATTTTACGTTCCCTGCCAGCCGGAGCTAGCCTGGCTGACATGATCAGACACGTAGTGAGGGAGGAACACCTGACGCCCATTCAGGCAGCTGTCCACACCCTGACCAATGCCATGGCGTGTTTCAAGTGCGGGGAGGCGGGTCACATCGCGGTGAGCTGCCCCCAGCCGGCACGGCGGCCTGCCGCAGCGCCTCCACCCCAAACACGCCCGCGGGGATCCTGCTGGGGTTGCGGGAGGAAGGGGCATCTTGCTAGGGAATGCAGGTCCCGGCTCCAGGGAAACGGAAAAGGGAGGGGGCCCGCGGGCCGCACCCAGCCTCCTCCCGCTTCGAATATGAGGCGGCCCATCCATGCCAACCCCCAATGGGGCGGGGAGCCCTCGTACCCCATTCTCCCACAGGAAGCAGCCAACTTCATACCCCTGCCAACGAGTCTCACGACACAGCCTGCGGCGCCTTTGTACCCACCGCCACCGCAAGCAGCGCCTGTGCCACAGGGTCAACAGGGGGCAGCCCAGGTTGGGACCCCTGGGTGGCCCTGACCCTGAAAATAGGGAAGGAACCCCCGAAAGTTTGGGGGACGTGCCGCCTCTATGGCAGTCGGGACCCCCACATAATAGGGCTTCAGTTTTGGGCAGACACAGGAGCAGACTGCACAATCCTGCCCCAAGCCCTATGGCCCCGGCACTGGCAGTACAAGGAGGTCCCTCCAGTGAACGGGGTGGGAGGGTTGTCCCGAGCTTGGAAAAGCACCCAATTGGTAGCTATAGCGCTCCATACAAAGAAAGGACCAGAACAAACAGTAGCAATCCACCCCTACATCTTGCAAAACTCCCCACCCCTGATAGGAAGAGACATCCTTGCTATGTTAGGAGTCAGGATTACAAATTTATAATGAGGGCCACTGCTGTACACCCACTGCTGCCAATCAAACTGACTTGGAAATCACCAGACCCCATATGGGTTGAGCAGTGGCCCCTGTCAAAGCCTCGAATGACAGCCTTGCTGGAACTGGTCGACCGCGAGCTACAAAAGGGCCACATCGAACCCTCCACCAGCCCGTGGAACACCCCTGTGTTTGTAATCCCCAAGAGATCAGGAGAAGGCTACCGCCTCATCCACGACCTGAGGAAGTGAACAAGACAATTCAGCCCATGGGTCCAGTTCAGACACTGCTGCCCGCGAACTCAGCCATCCCCGAAGGGCAGCCGTGCGCAGTGCTGGACATCAAAGACTGTTTCTTTTCAATACCCCTGCATGCCGAGGACAAAGAACGGTTCGCCTTCTCCATCGTGTTCCCGAACGGCGAGCGACCTAACCTCCGCTTCCAATGGAAGGTGCTACCTCAAGGCCTTGTGGACAGCCCGACCATATGCCAGATTACCGTGGACAGGGCACTGATGCCAGTCCGACACTCCCACCCTGCTGCGACCATCATTCAGTACATGGACGACATCCTCGTCGCTGCACCATCAGCAGGCCAAGTGGATCACCTAGTGTCCACGATCACCGAAACCCTCCAGGCCAACGGTTTCGAGATCGCGAACACGAAGATCAAGAGAGGACCGTGCGTGACCTTCCTGGGAGTGGGGATCACAAACTCCTACGTGACCCCACCCAGGATAAAGGTCCGCCGAGACATCAAGACCCTCCACGACATGCAGCGACTCGTGGGATCTCTGCAGTGGCTCCGCAACATCGTCCTAGTTCCCCCAGAGGTCATGGACCCCCTGTATGACCTCCTGAAAGGAAAACACCCCTGGGACCCCAAGGAGCTGACGCCGCAAGCAACGAAATCCCTCGACTTCATCGAACGTCAGATGTCCACTAGCCTGCTTGCCAGGTGGAACCCAAGCGTACCGCTAGATTTATACGTCCACTTCACGCAGAAGGGAGGAGTGGGAGCACTTGCCCAAGGACCTTCCGAAAAATCCCAGCCGATCCAATGGGTGGTCCTCGGAAGACCAACTCACGCATTCTCCCCAGGAGTTGAATGCGTTGCTAACCTCATCATGAAAGGCAGGAGACTCGCCCTGAGACACCTGGGAACAGAGCCGGCAAGGATCCACCTCCCCTTCCGCAAGCGACCGACCATGGAGTCAACTGCGATATCGGAGCACCTGGCCCTCGCTCTCACTGGCTTCGGGGGAGAAATTTCCTACGCCACCAAACCACCTTGGACCCAGCTACTGACCATTGTCGACATAGATGTGCCACCGAAGGTCATGGACTGACCGCAACCAGGACCAACGGTCTTTACAGACGCCTCCTCCATGACTTCTACCGCAGCAGCAGTGTGGCAAGCAGGAGAAACATGGCACTGCGTCAAAACGTGTGACCCCACGCTGTCAGTGCAACAGCTGGAAGCAGCAGCAGTGGTCTTGGCTGCGGACTTTTCCAAGACGAACAGCTCAACATCGTGACAGACTCTATATTCGTGGCAAAGCTCTGCCTAGCCATGTCAAGACCAGGTGTGTCAACATCCACAACGGCCTCCATGCTTGAAGAGGCACTCTCCTCACGCCAGGGCACCGTGTCCGTCATTCACGTCAACAGCCATAACCCAGTCAAGGGCTTCTTCCAGACTGGAAATGACAAAGCAGATGCTGCAGCGAAGGGAGTGTGGACGCTGCAGGAAGCTCGTCAGCTGCACGAGTCACTCCACATTGGGGCCAAAGCACTGGCGAAGAGATGTTGGTGACTGTGCAGTGCCAAACTTGTGTGAGACTCCCCACAGGCGCA